GTGTGTGTGTGTGTGTGTGTGTGTGTGTGTGTGTGTGTGTGCATATACTGGGTTAACTTATGTTATATACTTTTCATTTCACTTTGTAACGGTCCTTGAAAACAGTATAACTACACCACGTAATCTTAATCTTCTCTCGCAGATTTATACGAATCGAGTACACATCCATAATATAATCATGTTCACTGAAATATTATACTCAAAACATTAAGGTATAGGTACACCCGATTAGTTGCACCCCAGACGTATTTTTTCAGGAAATTAACAAAATATTATTAACGCCCCGCCCACGAAAACTCAAAATTTAAACAATTTTTGATTTATTATTTGTTAATATTATCGGTAAACTAATAAAAGCGTAGATATATGAAACATGAATAATACAATATTATCATTATTTATATTAACAATAATAATAATTAATATGTCTCTAATTTATTATTTTAATTTATATGTTATATTGCCCACCCATACCTTATTTTCTAGGTGTAGCGGCTACAATAGGAATCTATAGTAGTAGACCCGATTAGTTTTAGCAAGGCTGGGCAAGTTAATCATATATTTTAACTCATTTGAGTTCACCTTCAATTAAGTTGATTCACAAATTCACATGAGAATTACATCAATTTAGTTCAAAATTATGTAAAAAAATGTCGTTAACTTAACTTCAATAAATAACTTACGTTAATGACAAAATAAATTATTTATATTAAGCGCTGATATAAATTATATACATATATATATATATATAAACTATTTACAACAGATCCTAATTAACATTAATGATAATGAAAATGCATTAAAATCTTATTTAAAAATAGAAAAATATACATTTCTTCATTGGAATTGTTTTTAAGCATTCAAATATCAGATTTACGATAATTTATTATTGTTTTTTTATACAAATCACAAATGATAAATATAATAAAAAAAAGTATTCTTTTTAATGCTCAGGCTTGGTACTTAGTGTTCGTTTTATAAAAGCTATTGAACTGCAGTCACCGCAACTCCGTTGATATTTATATCTCCAAAAAATATTATTTTTATACATATACACGCACTAACGGAATTTCGAAGTATCGACAAATGCGTACAGGATTTAAGAATTCGTAAAGTATAAATTATTAGGACGTTAATTCGTACATAATGATATCGCGGGGTGATCGTTTCAAAGAAAAAATTAATATTATCATGTAATTTGCAACGTTTAACTAAAGTCGTTAAATGTTATTATAAGAGTTATTGTTTTTAATTTTTAATACTTTTTTTCATACGGAAGTATATACAATAATATTCAAATTTACTATCACTCATAATTCATGGTAAGTGACAGTTTAAGTGTTAGTGACAATTAAATTGCCTACTTAAATCGCCTTACCAACACATATTAAATCGTCTAAACCGATAATTATTAGTCGTGATGTAAAACAATAAAATTAATAAATTTAAGAGAATTTATATTTTTTTATCATGTAATTACTATCGGTAAAATTTTCAAATAAAATAATGAACATTATATTTTATTCTTTGTATAAAATAAAAAAGATTTATAATTTCGAAATTATTATACATCTAAAATATATGTTATTGATATTATGTTTATAATGCATAAAATTACTATCAATGTAACATATTATGTATACACTTTTAACTCATCTAATTGAATCGGTCATTTTGAAAAGGCCATTTTTCCATACATTTTCAAAACTAGTTTTATGTGATAGATGTGTTTAACTTATAATAATGCATATTTTCTGCAAGACCTCCATATCAAAAGTTGGTTTTTTATAAGGAAATTAAATAATTCAACACATTTTCAATTTTTATCTAAATTTAATTTTGATCTCTAAAAATAGTTTTTTACGTTTCTTGACAATTTTCATTTTATGGAGATATGGCCTTTTCGAAATGACCGATTCAATTAGATAATTATATAGTTAATGTATATATATATATTGTAACGAATAACTATTTTGATTCCAAATACCAAAAATGTTAAATGCTAATCCAAATCAGTTAATATCATTAGAATGATTAAGTTGGAATTATATTATTTCATCAAACTGAATTTTAAATTTAGTACTGTTCAATGAAAAAAAAATTATGTCAATTTTAGTTTATTCTAGTAAAATAAACCTTAAATTTTACTTTCGCCATATCTTTTCGATACTTAATCAGTGTTCAGATATTAAGACGGATATGTCAGTTGAATAATATAATGAAAGTAAACAATTCAATAATAAAAATAATTAAATTTACGAGTTATTTATAACCGTTACTTTATTAAACGATAAGATTTACAATGGTATTCTGGAATTCAATTTAATATATAATAATATATGATAAATAGTTTAACAGCCGAATGAATCAAAATTAAAAAATTATTTATTTTGTACTTTTTTTCTGATGAACATGAATATCTGATTATAGAAACTATAATCATAGAGTATTTTTTAAAGTGCTATTGAGTATGAAAACTTTTAGTGTAAAGCACAGGAAATCTTATACATTTATATTGTTTAAGTTGTCTATTAAGTAGCATAGAATTTTAAATTAAGGGATCATCATTTTAATACATAATGGTTAATTTATTTGTTTTTTTAATTTTCATCTTTTGTCATGATTAGGGATTCTTGTGAAAAAGTGTTTCAATTATTTTTTATTATTAAATAGATGACTACCAGTTACATTGGACACTTGGAATAATCAATTTATGATATTTTGGATGCAATCTAGGTAAAGTACAATATTTTGAAGTATGTCTATATTTATGATTTTAATATTTTATTTGTTGAAAAATAAAAATAATATAATTTATTATTTTCAAAAAGGAGTTCAAATTTTTAACTTTTTTTTATTCAATTGTTTTTTCTAAAATTAGAAATATAAATACAAATTAATTTATTTGTGAAATATACTATACAAATAATAAAATTTATCTATGAATACTATAATACATTTTAATGAAAATTGTTGGTAAACGTGTTTAATAATATTAATATTAAATATAGTATATTATGACACAGTAATTACATTTTGATAACGGTAACAAAACATATTCAATTAAAAGTACTCAAAGATAAACTTCGATACAAATAATTAAAATTATATGAATAATTAACTGTACACATAGGTTAGGTTATAACTAATATATGATACATAACAATATTGTTATAACACATAGGTACTTGAGTACTTGTATACATGTATCAAGTATTTTTCATATTCAATTTACTTGAAAATTATTTCTTTAATTTTGATTTAGAGTTAATGGTAAATTATTATCTAGGCATAAAGAAAATATAAAATAATAAAATAACTAATACATTGCGTAAAATAGAACATCTCTGTGTTATAAATCTAATTTAATCGATTAATCAATTAATCTTGACATATAATGATATTATATAAATATTACGTTTAATATTATATAATAAAATACTGAGACTTTCAATAATAATAATAATAATAATACAAAGTATGTATAACCGGACTAGACGAGATTAAAACATACAAATATAAATAAACAATAATAATTATTAGTTTTGATATACATTTCAACTAATTTAACATTATAATACAAAATGGTAAAAACTTTAAAACGATAATAAAATTACAATAAAAAGTACTAATGAAGACAGAATATTTATAAAAAGTATGATTTATAGTTATTTGATCTTTTTGATCTTTAAGAACATACATTTTTTTTATAAATTGAGCAACACAATTTTACGTATAGAGATGATCTAGGAATGTAAACCTGAAGGTGACAGGTTTAACTAAACCTAATTCTGAGGTAAAATATTTATGGTATAATCCTAGCTAATTGTGATATTTAAGGCGCTCCTCCGTTTTCTCCTTTTCGTGTCGATGCCTTTCCAATAATTGATTATCATGTCCGAGCCTTTCTCAGCAATCATCATTGTTGGCGCATTTATGTTGCCATTTGTGATCTGAGGCATAATACTGGCATCAATCACTCTCAAACCCTGGATTCCGTACACTCTCAGTTTAGGATCTACTACGGCAAAAGGATCGGTAGGTGGTCCCATTTTTGACGTGCCTAAAACATTTTAAAATATATTGATGATCATACATTGAAATATATATAATGTGAGCCCTTGGATGATTAATGTTGATATTTTTTTTTAGTAAGATTTTAAAACATTTTTGGGGTTTATTAAAAATTGAAATAGATATAATTATATTTCATAGGTATACAATCGAAAATTTCATTCGAAAATTTATAATGTAATTATGTTTTATTTGTGTAATCATTTTAAATTGTAAATTTTCATATTATACTAATATACTCGCTTATAAATTAAATTGTTTTCAATTTTAATAAACTTTATAATATGGTACACCTTATATGCATTAAACATGGCTTTTATCGACACTACTTTATTATATTTAAATATATCATATGTCATAGATTTATCGTTAAATCAAGTGTTTCATTAAAATAGTTAAATAGTCAAATAATTGTATTATTGTTAATATTACTTAATATTATGAATTTATTACAATATATATTTATTGGCAATTAGTTATATACTCTATCATTCGTATAAATATCTACGACGACCTAGGAAAATGATAAAAAGTTGAAAAATTTTACTATATTTGAAATTATGATTTCTTTTTATAATGATTCTGATGTGCAGGAATAAATGAAGCTACCGTATGTGTTTTTTCGTGACAAGAGGTATTATAATTTATTTTCATACCGATTTAAATATAAATAAATTATAAAACAAAGCACTCATAATCTAATAATATAAAACAACCATTTTTTTCACATTTGAAAAGTCAAGGTACATATTTTGTTGTATTTGGCTCTTATCTTTATTGGACGCTGGACAAATAGCAATCCAATGCACAAAGACGACGAATAATTAATAAAAAAAAAAAAAAAAAATGATAATATAAATATCAAATATTATAAAAATATCGCATTTTGTGTTATTTACCTAGTTTGTAATAATCATTTAGTTAAATACCTTTAATCGTACTGAATAAAAATAAAAAATTCTTTATGTTGAGCAAAATGTCCGATTTATCAACGTAGTGAAATCAAAAAGTTCTACGAATTTAATTACTAAAAAAAAAAACAAATATTTTATCGCATCAAATATCTGATTATCTGAACATTTTGCAACGATTGAAGATATTAAAATGTATGAAATAGCAAATCTCAAGACTATATCAGTTGAAGGATATCAAAGATGTTTATAGCTGTTACAAATTCGTATAAGTTACTGTATTTGTGCAGAAAGATGACGTTTTTAAGGAAATTTAGTAAATTTTGGTTTGAATCGTATACGTATAAAATATAAAATAAAATGTTGGGAACATTTTAATCCTACTTTGTACATCATATACTTAGACACCAACAATACCAAACAGTTTAAGCCACGGACACCTATCGAAAACCATTTGTAAAAACTTTTAAAACTTACCCGACATGTGGTAGATGGTCATCGTGTACTGACGTATCACGCATTCCCAGTACTCGTCGGTAAACTGTTCGATGGTCTTGCAACCGGGAACCGGCCTGGCGTGGAACCGGGCGCCGAACCGTTTCATCGCGGTCGTCTCACCGACGGCCACCGCGGCCTTCACGCCCTCCCGCAGCACTCTGATGTCATCGGGGTGCGAGAAATAGTTGTGGTACAACAGCGGGTACTGGTGCGGGCTGTTGCTGCGGAGCAGTAGGCGGCCCCGGCTCTTGGGACGCAACAACATCGGGAACACGCCGAACACGTCCTTGTTGTTGAGGTCGGCCAGCAGTTCATCGTAGAAATCGTCTCGCAGACAATGGGCCTTCTTGGCTGCCGTGCCGCCGTCCGAGTTGGTCGACGTGGACGTCAACATGAACTCGATGTCCGGCCAGTCGTCCGACTGGTTACCGTACTTGGTCGTGATAAACGCGACCGTTTCCAGTCCTATGGACGACGTCAACGGGCCTTCGCCCAGCACGGCGTACCTGCAGATCATCGAGGCGAAATGAGTTGAGAAAAAACAAATACTTATGTTTGCGACATAACACAAGTGCACGTCTCGTGTACAGACTGATAATTAGGTTAATTGTATCGCGTGCACTGATCTCACTGTAAAAAAGACGTTTTTTTCCCCTCGGTTATACCGTACACCAACCATGTCGGTTTCTAATATAAATTTGAACAATTATCGTTTCGAAAGAGAATTCATATTTCACAAATCGAGACATATTACGTTTCATTAGACGATAAAACACGCAATATTACGCTGTATCATGTTTAAAATTATTTCTGAATTGTCTACTACCGAGTACAGTTACTTTTCTTATCTGTTGATTTTTTTACTAATCGGTTTTTAGTATTCGAATCAATTATCAAATATTAAATTATATTGATCATAATTGGAATATTAATTATTATTGTTTTCTTTATATTGTAAATTCAAAGCTTTTGTTAAAAATGAAATAACCGTGTATAATATATGATATATGTTATAATCATGTATTAAAATATCAAAAATGATTATTCAGAATTTTATTTTTTTTTATAATATTAATTTTATATTAATATTATTATATAATAAATATATATGTATAAATATAATCGTTATATAATATTAATTAAACAAAATAAACTTTAGAATAAATCAAATAAATATAAAATAATCCATTTTATAATCAACCAAATTCCGTTTAAATTAGTTTTATTTCTAAATGTTTATTGTAAAAAAATAATTCACTAATAACACTGGCTTTCACTGAGATAAGTGAAGCAAAACGAACACCTAAACAAACATCCTATACGTGTATCATGTCCGTGCGTTTTTCTGTTATTATTATGTACTTATATAATAATTATTATTACACTCAACGTTGAAATTAACAATAAGATTTGTTCCCCAACCACAAAGCAATTTTGAGAGAGATACTTGAATAATTGTTAAACGTATTTTAAGATAATTATTATACTTAACATATTTTATTTTTCACTATTTTATCAAAACTATAATAAGTAATTAATATCAAGTATAAGATGTTTTTAATTTTACTTTAAAGTTTTACCTTAAAGCTGCTGGTATGTTGACTACTCGATTCATGACCAAACTGACTGGAAAGTCAATGAGGAATAACAGACCGCCGACAGCAACGTGGTCCATAAGATTTTCACCGACGCCAGGTGAATGATGGATTAATGGTATGTTAACATTCTTCAAGTGCTCTTCCGGTCCAACACCTGAAATATCAAATCAATGGCATAATAATTATAATTATATTCTTGGGTACGGTGTGTGAGCAAAACATCAGCCGGATTACAAAATGGTTGCTTTCACCAATACAATATGCTTAAAATTATTGCGGATTCACATGCGTGCGCACATTCACGTAGACACTAAAATAGAAATGTACGCATTTAGGGTACACAGATAAATAATACACACACACACACACACACACACACACACACACACACACACACACACA